ATCCTAGAGAAATAAGAGCTGTCACAGGAATAGATACATGCACACCCACGTTCATTGCAGCACTGTTCACAACAGCAAAAAGATGGAAACAACCTAGGTGCCCATCAACAGACAAATGGATAAACAAATTATGGTATATCCACACAATGGAATACTACGCAACGATAAAGAACAACGATGAAGCCGGAAAACTTCTTATAACATGGAGGAAGCTGGAGGGCATTATGCTGCGTGAATTTAGTCAGTTACAGAAGGACAAATATTGTATAAGACCACTATTATAAGAACTCAAGAAAAGGTTTAAACATAGAAGAAAACATTCTTTGATGGTTACGGGGGGGGGAGGGTTATTTACTAACTAGATAGTAGATAAGAATTATCTTAGCTGAAGGGAAGGACAGCACTCACTACAGGGGAAGTCAGTACAACTGGACTAAACCAAAGCTAAGAAGTTTCCTCAATGCAATCAAACACTTTGAGGGACAGAGTAGCAGGGGTCAGGGTCTGGGGACCGTGCTTTCAGGGGACATCTAGGTCAACCGGCATAACAAAGCTTATTAAGAAAATGTTCTGCATCCTACTTCGGTGAGTGGCGTCTGGGGTCTTAAAACCTTGCAAGCGGCCATCTAAGATGTATCAATTGGTCCCAACCACCTCGAGTAAAGGAGAATGAAGAAGACCAAAGACACAAGGAAAATGTTAGCCCAAGAGACAGAAAGCGCCACATCAACCAGAGACTTCATCAGCCTGAGACAAGAAGACCTAGATGGTGCCCGGCTACCAACAACGACCGCCCTGACAAGGAATACTACAGAGAGTCTTGGATGGAGCAGGAGAAAGGTGGGGTGCAGAACTCAAATTCTAGTAAGAAGACTAGACTCAGTGGTCTGACTGAGACTAGAGGAACCCCGGAAAGCATGGCCCCTGGATTCTCTGTCATCGCAGAACTAAAACAATTTCCAAGGCCAACTCTTCAGACACAGATTGGACTGGACTGTGGGACATAAAGTGATACTTGTGAGGAGTGTGCCTCTTAGCTCAAATAGGTACAAGAGACTAAATGGGCAGCTTTTGTCCGGAGGTGAGATGGGAAGGCA